ACAACAACAAAGAATTTTTGGACTCCTGGTGTGGTACTGTAGGATAAGGAGATGGTGGTGGTGGTAATGTGCCATATAGTTGGTTCTGACTCATAGCGACCCTGTATAGGATTTCCAAAGCTGTAAATCTTTACAGGAGCAGAAAGCCTCATCTTTGTCCTGCAAAACCGCTGGTAGTTTCAAACTAGCTGACCTTGAGGTTAGCAACCCGACTCATAACCACTAAGTTACCAGAGCTCCTTGGACTGGTAACCACAAGGTCGATGGTTCAAGCTCACCAGCCACTTTGTGGATAAAAAGATGAGGCTTTCTGCTCCCACAAAGATATATATAGCCTCAGAAATCCTACACAGGGTCTCTATGAGTTGAAAGTGACTCAATGGCACTTAAGAGCAACAATTCTTGAAGAAAAAATCTTTTTAAAATCTGGGCAACGAGTTCAAATCTTTATTTATCAATTCTGAGGAAAAGACATTAATGAGTTAAGTCACTACTCTCAGATTAGCAGGGCAATGGCACAGGTGGGACTGGTTGTCAATAATCATAGCTCCATTACAGGTGACTCAGCAACCCCTTTCTTCACAAAAGGAGGAACGGGAAGCAAACTATACACACGAAGATGTCACAACCCGAGCCCAGCAGCCCAACAGGAAAAGAGACTACTCTTTGGTTTGTTCTTGGGGTAGTCCGTAGTACTCTGAATATTTAAAGAAAAGGAAACAGGGAGAGACCTCAGGGGCACATCCTCCTCATTGATCAGGAAATCAGGAATGTCATCTTTGCAGATTCAGAAATGATACACCAGGAAAACACTGTGAAGGGTGTAAGAGTTAAGGGCAACAGAAGTAAAAACTATTATGTACATAATTCTTCCATAACAATAATCTACAAGTAGATACATAAATATGTAAAATGAACAGATACGGAAGGCAGGATGTGATGATACCCATGAATATATAGAAGTTTGGCAGAAGATTATTCTATATATGTTAAAAAAAAAAAAAAGGTATCTTTTTATTTGTACCCTGGTTGATTCCAAAAGGAAGATGCAAAGTACAAATGGTAGCTGAAACTTAACTTTTATAAAAAGCTTTATTTATTTTTACTATATTTATTTATAACATACAATCCTGTTCCACAAAGCATTTTAAGACGTTAAATTAGACTTCTTAGTATATTTTGGCATTCTCTTACAAAAAGTTTTATTATACACTTTACAGACTATGGATAAAGTGCTTGGAACATAGTAAGCCATCCATAAAATGTAGTTTTTACACTAGATTATAAACTCTATTAAGAAGCAGCACTGTCTTGTTTGGCACTTGACCTCAAGAATTTAGCCTGTTAACTGGCCCAAAGTTGATGCTTAATAAATAGAGTTAAATTAACGACTATGATCAGAGTCCTGGTGTGGCGCAGTGGGTTAATGCACCAGACTGCAAAGCCATTTGAACTTCAAGGTTGGTGGTTCAAGCTCACCAGTTGCTCCTTGGAAATCCTATACAGGGTCACTATGGGTAGGAACCGACTTGATGGCACTTCACAACAACAACATGATCATACAGTAGTTCTTAACCTGGATCACCTTAATTTATGTTTACCGGCAGTGTTACCACCTCCCCTAATCAACAGCAAAGGACTGGAAAAACCATACCTAAGAGGAAAGGCATTTAAGTTCCTGTTTGTATTTCCTTAAACTCACCACAAAGATTCTCCCCTTCTGTCCCAAAACCACAAAATCAATGCTTTGCAACAATGTATTCTTAAACAATTTTGCTTCATTTCCCCTCACAGACAATGCACAAAGTTCCCTAAAACTACAAGGCTTAGATCAGTTCCCTTTCCTCTTAAACAAGGAAAGACAAATTTGTAAAACTGTATCATTTTCCAGTCTAATGCCTTCATCTTTGGTTTTTAGTTGGGTACCACACAGGCTGATCTTTGCTTTTTACTACATTCTAGAAATTAAAGAAAAAAACAATGAGAACAGGATTAAAAGGGGGAGAGCTACACATCAAAGTAAACACACTTCAAAGTAATCAAATTAGGAAACTGAATACATTTTTGAATGATGCTGCATTCCTTTAATTATTTGCAGAGAGGCAGGCATTTTTTTTGGAGTAGACTTCAGGTCCAGTCCTACTAGCCAAACCAGAAATTCTGTCATTACTATATCATAGTTGCAACTCTCATTTAACAATTGATTTCTTGATCTTTTTCACCAGACTTGAATCCAAATTTCCAATTCATTTGGATTAGACTTTTAACTATTCCTTAAAATCAAAACTCCTCTCAGAGAAAGAAGATAAAGAAAACTTACACGGGCAATTAAGGAAATACTAAGGCAAGTCCCAAGAAACATTTTATGTCACTCCTAAAAAGTTGCTAATTGAAAAAAAGCTACTCTGAGATAACACTTATTTGTAAATCTAAGTTCTGGTATTGACTTTTTGCTTATAGTCAAATTTCCTATCGTTTCAGTTGTATTTTCCTCTACCAATACTCCGTAAGTTACAATCTCTCTCTCTCTCTCTCTCTCTCTCTCTCTCTCTCTCTCACACACACACACACACACACACACATACCATTTGACTTCCAGGAGATTTCAACTCATGACCATTCCATGTACGTCACAATAGAAATGTGCTCTACAGGGCTTTAAATGGCTAATGTTTTCCCAAAGTAGATCGCCTTTTCTTCAGGGGCATCTCTGGCAAGACTCAAACATCCAGCATCATCTCAGGTAGCATTTGTATCACCCAGGGACTTGGGCTGCCTATTAATTCCCCTAAAAATACTTAGTAGAAACACTACTTTAAAATAAATAACACAACACAATAAAACCTCTGCTTCCCTGAAAAGAACACAAGAAACTTAACAGTGGTTGTTTCTGAAGAAGGAAGGACGATGGCTGGGGAACAAGAAAGGAAGGGAGGGAACCTTTTCTTGAAATACTTTTTTATATCTTTTGAATTGTATAAAATGTGAACATACAACCTATTTTTAAAAATCTGTTCAACAAAATTACTTGCAAATGACAGATACCACTGGTTTCTGTAAACCAGAAAAGTATTGGTTGATTGGTTATGTGCTGTGGAGGTGGAGTCTGTTCCAACTCATAGCAACCCTATATAGGGCTTCCTAGGCTGTAAATCTTTATGGGAGCAGAAAACCTCATCTTTCTCCAGAGGAACAGCTGGTAGTTTCAAACTGCTGACCTTAAGGTTAGCAGCCTGGCTCATCCTAGAAAAGTATAGCACTAATGAAATAGGAAGCTCATTTTAGTGACACTTTATTGTAAACTTTGTTCTCTGGTCTAGTGTAGAACTATTCAGACCAACAGTAGGGAAATCTTGCATGTAAACTTTTTCAAGTTCACCTAGCTGAGTTATTCTGCTGTATCTCTCCATCAGAGCTTAAATAGAAACACTGAAAACAAAAACTTGATATTATAAAAATAAAGGTGTCAGCTCAAATATAAAGGTAAGTTAATGAACTATAAAAGGAAGCAATGATCCAAATATACTTTTGATAATTAGCAAATCAATAAATATATCATGAATGCAAGGAATACTGCAAATTCCATGAAAACATAAACTGTCAATATTGTTAAAACGTGAGGAAAATGTCAAGCCTAATTCCATCTGCAACATAACTCAAACAGCTTGAACTAGAAAATGCAATATGATCTGTTGCAGGGCACAATTGCACAACCTCAATTACCCAGAAGATTCTACCAAACAGGAAATTCATGATGTGACTTTAAGGAACTCAGGAATTATATGTAAAGATTAACACATAAAAAAAGTTGCAATAGGTTCCTATGCAAAAACATATTTTACAGACCCCTTCCTTTTCAAGTGATGCATGAATTACTAAAATCCAGAAAAAGCTGAAAATGAAATCTGATATTTTAGTTTCAGATCTGAAGTACCCAGATTATAGCAAATCTATAGTATAAACCTTAGAAACAAGGGAGAAGTTGGTGAAATATTTCAAGTCTGGAAATTTTTTGATACCAATTTAATTTAAAACACTTGCCTTGTAAATAAAAGCATGAAACGTCTCTATCTTGTACCTGAAGTCATAAAAGATAAGATTACTGCAAACTCTAAGGGCCTTTAAAAACACAGTACATAGGAATTATGGCAACTTAAAATCATATCCAATGCTTTCCAGCATGGTTAACTTTTTGATCTCTTGAGAGCGTCCAACGGTCCTGAACATCATTTGCTCCAAATAAGAAAACTGTTTTGTCAGACAATCCTTAAATGAGCAGAGGAATGAGACTAATGAGTGAGGCGGCCGGTTTCTCAAACAGCGGGGTTCCTGCAAGCATAATCACCACCACTACCCCCTCCACGAAAAGGAAATACGCTTTCAACCGAATCGGAAACACACCACTCAAACTGGCACTGTGTTCACCGAGATAAAGTCGGTATTTTAAGCTACATCGCTCGCTGCTAATTCAAGTGCGAATTCAAAAAGGACGCCTCTAAAAAGCCGAATTTCAACAGAGCTTTTACAAAACAGTCCCGGATGAGCTCCCTGCCCTGGTCAATTTCGTTCAGAGGATCCCGGGCTCCCAGTCCGGCTCTGTCCCGCTGCTGCTCCGGGCAGATGTGGAGCTCCAGGATGAGCCCTTCTGTTCGACGCCAGCAGGGACACCCAAAGCAGAAGGCACCCTCGCCCCTGTCCCCGGAGTAGCAGCCTTCTGAGAAGCTCTCGCAAGGTGGGAACCAGGACCGAATTTACCCCCGTCCCCACCCCACCCCAGCGTGGAACTGGATCGGGAACACGACTGACCACCTACTTGGTGTGCAAATGGGGGTGCAAGGGTGCATGAAAGAGCTGGAAGGAGCAGCGATGCCGCCCGCCCCCCCCCCCCGCGCGGAAAATTCCTGCCGCTTGGCGCATCGCAGAGCGGTGGGGGCAGGCCTGGCCCTGGGTCGTGAGGGGCCACTGCTGCCCACCTTGGCCTCAGGCCCGGAAACACTCACCAAACGGAGCCATAGGCACCGGAGCCCACAGGGGACAGGTTCTGATAGCGTTCGGGCACCTCCCAGATAGTCTTGTTCAGCTCCTGCCGGTAGAACGTGGGCCTCTCCTGAGACATCTTCCCAACGGCGGCGTCAGGGTGAGGAGGTGTCCCCCGCCTCCGTAGCCGCTCCCGGACTCTCGCCGCCTGCCCAGCCGGGCTGGGACCCTACGCTGGCCGCCCGCGCAGGTGCGGCTGCCGCAGCCCGGCCGACTCCCGCGCGCGCGCGGCCCCTGTCAGAAGCAGCAGCTAGGTGAGTCTTAGTGACGGCAGCGAGCCCAGTTAAGTGCAGGGGCGTGCTACGGTGCTCAGGGCTGCGCCCGCCGCAATCCCCCTGCACACTCTCCCGGGCCAGGCCAACTCAGGGGTGAGTCGCCAGACTCTAGCTGCAACGCCCGCTGAAGCTCCAGTGGTCGCGGCTGCAGAGCCAGCAAGCAGAGCCCTCCCGCCTTATTCTCGCGAGAGGAACTCCCGGGACTCTCCGCGAACCGAGATTTTACCCAATATGGAACCTACTTGCGGGAGGGGTTTCGAGATGGGAGAAGACGGGAGAAGTATTTCTCGCGAGAAGAGAGCAACAGCTGGAGCCCAGAGGCAGGAACACCCAAGGACTGATCTCCCTCCTTAAGGGCGCGAAGGCTGTCTCTGGAAGGAAGGGACTAGCGAGCAGCACGTGTCTCGTGCGCCCTCCTGTGGTGAACGGGGAGAAATGCTTGGCTTCATGCTACATCGGTGACTAGTAAGACTTTGGGAAACGTCAACTTCCAAAACATAACTTACATAAAAAAGGAGAAACGGCCAGAAAGCCGTTGCATTTCCATCTGCTCAAGGGCATATGGCTTATTCTCCAGGATTCTGACGAAGTCTGTCCCAAAGGCAACTATTAGCCCTGTATGGAGTCCTGGTAAGGCGCAGCAGGATGAGCACTTGACTTCAAGGCCAGTTTGAAGCTCAGGGTTGGCGGTTCAAACTCACCAGCCGCTCCTCGGAAGCCCTGCAGAGTCGCTATGAGTCGGAATTGATTTGATGGCACTTAACAACACGGAGTCCTGGACCAGCCGCTTCACCGAAGAAACTTGAGACTTTTTGGTCCCGGAAATTTTTACAGTCTTGGAAACCCTATACAGGGCCGCTATGAGTCGGAACCAACTCCACGGTACATAACCACCACCACCACCATGGAGTCCTGGTGTGACAATGTAGGATAAGCACAGGACTTAACATAATGACTTCAACAGTATTTAACAACGTAACAAAGTGCCTTCGAGGTGGTTCCACTCATAGTGAGCCTGTCTAGGGGTTTTCAAGGAGCAGCTGGTGGTTATGAACTGCTGACCTTGTGGTTCACAGTCCAATGCTGTTCCTACAGCGCCACACCAGGATTCTTTGAACTGGGGGTTTTTTCCAGCTAAACTCTCCTAATAATTCTCACTTTTGTGTGAAGAAGAATCAACCTGGGAATTTGTTTTAAAATGCAGATTTCCAGGACCCATAGAAATCGAATTAGGTAAGTCTAAGGTAGGCAGTGAACCGACTGGATGGCACTTAACAACAACAACAACAAGGTAGGCAGTAAGAAAGTACATTATTATCATACACACTAGGCAGTTCTGATTTAAGAACGTCTTGGATATCTTCCTCTGATAGGCATTTTAAAAACCATTACCTTGAGAATTTGAAACTGACTCCTGCCCTGAAGATTCTTCCAATGAAGAGGACTTTTAAGCATTCTATTCAATTCATGCATTTCAGAGTTAGAAAGAGAAGGAGGCAGAGTCTTTATTCCTTCAGTGTCTCTTTGGGCAAGTCAATTGACCTTTCTTAGACTTAAGTTCCAACTTCTGCAAAGCGTTTTTACTGCCTTACCTTCCCACTGCAAGAAGCAGTCATCCAGTGAAAACACCGAAACTTGTGAGGCAGAAGCACCTGGGATTCCAGATGCTTCTATCCTCAATTTCCTCACAGAACTAACGTGTGATCTGAAGACTTAAGTGAATTAATTGATGTGAAGTGCAGATCTCGAGACTTGGCACCTACTTGTTGTTAAGTGCCATGGAGTCAATTCTAACCCATAGCAACCCTGTATAGGGTTTCCAAGGAGCAGAGGGTGAGCTTGAACCACCGACCTTGCAGTTCAAACAACTTTGCAGTCTGACGTATTAGCCCACAGTGCCACACCAGGCACCTAGTAGGCCTCCAACAAGAGTGTAAAACCTCGAAGTGAGTTGAGGCCTGGGTCACACACTTAAGCACTCTCCTGGGGTTCGGGACTGGCGACCCAACTATCCCTCTGCCCGCTCCCCAACGCTCCACGCCCGCCCAGAACGCCCACGGGTTCTGCCGCAACGGCTCGGGAACCGCCGGCGTCTGCATCCGCGTCTACAGCGCCGCCATCTGGGCGGGAGCCGCATTGGACCCCAGCTCCACACTCCCGCCTGCGCCCAGGACCCAGGTGAGTCGCTGCTGGGAGGCGCCTGGCAGTCGGGGGCTGCAGGATGGGAGCGGTGAAGCCCACACGTGTGCCTGGGCATGAAGAACCAGCCTCTCTTTACGTGTCGAAGCCCCGGGCGGGTTGTGTCTGCCTCATCAGGGCCACGCATATCGCAGGCACTCAGTCAATATTTGAGGGATGAATGTATGAGGATCGTCTCTGGGAGCTCAGAGGTATCGTCTCTGTTTTAACAGGACGCGGGGGATGACTAAGACAAGAGACAGCTTGTCTTGTGCATTTTGCAAGCTGAGTCCTTTCAAAGCCGCTTGCCTGGATGCCCCCGACCTTGTCCGCTGCCCACGCCCTAACCACCCCACTCTATCCATCTCCTCCTGAGGTTTGACTGCCCAAACTTGACAGTTTTTGTTCATTTGGGGCTTTCTGCCTGACCTTCCTCCCTCACTAGTCCTTTTTTCTTCCTGTCAAATCCAATCTATTTTTCAGGACCCTGTGACGCTTTGACAACACCCCAACCCAATAATGAGTGTCTTGCCTTCACACTCCACAGGTTTTACTCTTACTGCATTACATTACAGGTAGTTGTGGATAGTTGTTTATGTGTCTAATGAGCAGGCAATTCCTTGAGGGCTGTGTGTCTTATTCATTCTGTTACTAGACAGTTATTGAACGATACTAAAAAGCAATGCGTTTTCTATATTTGAAAGTCATTTCCCCTTAAAACCTAGGTAGTAACTGACTAAGAGACTGTTTATGCAAATGCTTAACTTGAAATTCTGATAGTGAATTTTGCTTTCCCATGATTGTAGAGAATGTACAGGATTTCAATACTATTGAGTCAATACAGAGAGTTGTGCTGTGTTCAAACTTTTTATTCTTAACTTTAAAAACACTTTTAAACATAAGTAATGTAAACGAACAAATGGATGGATGGGGCAAATATGGGAGGAGTTAAGTCAAAAGTGCATATATTTTTACAGTGCCCCCAAACTTAGCACTAGAAGACTGACTAAAAATAATTGGCTACATCTACGGTGGTCTTCATACTTCTCTGTGTACTTTACCTGGAGGACTTCCTAAAACAGATTTCTGGACTTTCACCAGAGTTTCTGATTCAATATGACTACATGAGGCTTGAGAATTTGCAACCCTAATAAATTCTGTGTCTGGGCATCAAGTATGGATGACAGAGATTAAGTGAATTTCTCATTTGAAGTGCTCCAGATACTCCAAATTATGTTACATTTGTAGAATAAGAAAATGAAAATTTAAGTAGTTCAAACCCATTGTCTACCAAACTTAAATATGTCTCTGATGTCAGGAAGCATCAGGGAGTCATTTTCTAAAAGGACATTTATTATCGAGATTATGTGTAAAGCTTACTATAGTGTTGATTACACTAAGTACAGTAGTCTGGTCAGACTGATGCCTTCAAGAGTCATTAATAGAGAGTCTCCCTTTTGTGTCTTAGCATCATCCCATCAGTGTAGTCTAGATCATTAACTCATCACTTATTCCATACTGGAGTGCATCTGGCACTTCTCAGTAGGAGCTTCTGGTCGTCCACCTTATCTAGGAGGGTCCTACTGTTGTTAGGTGTCATCAAGTTGGTTCTAATTCATAGTGACATTGTCAGTTCTAATTTTTTGTACAACTGAAGGAAACACTGCCTGGTCCTGTGTCATTCTCATAATCATTCCTACGTTTGAGCCTACTACTGTAGCCAATGTGTCAGTCCATCTCATTTAGAGTCTTCCTGTTTTGATTTTACCTTACCAAGCATGATGTCTTTCTCTAGGGATTGGTTCCTCCTGATAACATGTCCAAAGTACATGAGATGAAGTCCCACCTCCTCACTTCTAAGGCGTATCCTGGCTGTACTTCTTTTAACATAGATTTGTTAGCTCTTTTAGCAGTCAATGATATATTATTCTTTTCTAACACCATAATTCAAAGGCATCAGTTTTTCTCTGGTCTTTCATATTCATTATCCAGTTTTTGCATGCATGTGGGATGATTGACAATACCATGGCTTGGGTATTTTAGTCTTCAAAGTGCCATTTTTGCTTTTTAACACATTAAAGAGCTCTTTTGCATTAGATGTTCCCAGTGCAGTATGTTGTTTTCTTGACTTCTACTTTCATGGGCATTGATTGTGGATTCAAGTAAAATGAAATCCTTGATAACTTCAATATTTTCTCCTTTTATCATGATGATTCTTATTGGTCTAGTTATGAAGATTTTCGTTTGCTTTCCATTAAGGTGTAATCCATACTGACAGCTGTATTATTTGATCTTGATCTGTGGTGCTTCAAATCCTCTTCACTTTCAGCATACAAGGTTGTGTCGTCTGCACATTGCAGATTCTTTATGAGCCTTCCTCCAGTCGTTATGCCCCATTCTTCTTCTTCATATAATCCAACTTCTTGAATTATTTGCTCATCATACAGATTGAATAAATATGGCGAAAGGATCCCCTGGCACACACTTTTCCTAATTTTAAACCACTCAGAATCCTGTATTCTGCTTAAACGACTGCCTGTTGGTCTGTGTACAGGTTCTACATGAGCACAATTAAGTATTCTGAAATTTCTGTTCTTTGCCGTATTATCCATACTCTGATATGATCCACACAGGTGAACATCTTTCTGTATCCTCTTTTCAGACAAGATCCATCTAATGTCATCAATGACATTCATCGTTCCATGTCCTCTTCTGAATCCAGTTTAAATTTCTGGCAGTTTTCTGTTGATGCACTGCAAAAATTTACTTGCAGCAGTTTTTTCACTCAGCCATGGCCAAGATCAAGGCTCAGGACCTTTGCAGCAAGAAGGAGGAGCTGCTGAAACAGCTGGACGACCTTAAGGTAGAGTTGCCCCAGCTGTGCTGGGTGGTGGTGCGGCATCCAAGCTCTGTAAAATCTGAGTTGTCCACAAATCCATTGCCCAGGTTCTAACTGTCATCAACCAGACTCAGAAGGAGAACCTCAGGAAGTTCTACAAGGGCAAGAAGTACAAGTCCCTGGATCTGCAACACAAGAAACCAAGTGCCATGCACCACAGACTCAATAAACATGAGGAGACCCTAAAACCAAGAAACAGCAGCAGAAGGAACAGCTATACCCACTGTGGAAGTGCACAGTCAAGGCCTGAGCATCGTACATCAATAAACACAAACTGGCTGACCTGTTAAAAATTTTTTTTTACTTTGCTAGGGTCCTGCTAATGCATGCAAATTAGCTATTAGGGTTCCCCTGAAGTTAAAAAAGACATAATGGAGCTGGTAAAATTTGAGAGAAGACCACGGAAATAAATAAGGCAATCATGTGCTTTCCTTTGCTGCTTTTAGTCAGTTAGTTATTCAAGGACTGTTCCTTTAGCGTCAGAGTCAGAGATAGCTTTCCATTTGCCCCTCCTCACTGGGACCACAAAAGCTTTCAACCTGAATACCTCTGTCCTAGATTATTGTAATATTCATTGTTTCTAACTAGTTTCCTGCCTCAAGCACTGTCTAGTAGCTCCATGGCTTAGTTGGTTAAAGCGCCTGTCTTGTAAACAGGACATCTTGGGTTCAAATCCCAGTGGGGCCTCGTTAGCTTTGGACTCCTGGTGTGGCGCTGTGGGTTAATGTGTTGGACTGTAAAGCCAGTCTGAACCACAAGGTTGGTGGTTTAAGCTTACCAGTCGCACCTAGGAAACCCTAGGTTGAGAAGGAAACCCATGAGAAGGAGAATGCAGACATTGAATGCATATAAAACATGACTGGAGAAGACAGGCGAACTGGGCTTCCAGAAAATAAATGGCAAAGTCTTTATCAACAAAGCTGTTGAGAGCAAAAACAAGTTCTTACACGAGTATTGTCACCGAGGTGCCAGTACATCTGCTCTGGAGGACCATTTCAATAAAACCATTCTTCACAAAGTTATGCAGGTCAAGAACTTTGGACGTTCTACCAGTACCAATACCATCTCCTTCAGCTAGGTTTTGGGACCAAGAGAATGTTTAGAATGTTCTTCAGACAAAAGATAGCTGGGATACTAGATGTCTTTGAGTGACTACCTGCAAAGAATTGTATCATAGTTTGTAATGATTCACACAGTCAAAAGACTTTGTATAGTCAATAAAGCACAAGTAAACACCTTTGTGGTATTCTCTGCTTTCAGCAATAATATCTCTAATTCCATGTCTTTTTCTGAATCCAGATTGAATTTCTGGCAGTTCCCTGTCAATGTACCATTGCAACTGTTTTTGAATTATCTTCAGCAAAATTTTACTTCAATTTTAATGATATTGTTAGATGTTCACATTCCATTGGGTCACCTTCCTTTGGGATGGACTCAGATATGGATCTCTTCCAATCACTTGGCCAGGTAGCTGTCTTTCGAATTTCTTGTTGAAAAATTTCAGTTGGTATTCTGTCAATTCATGGAGCCTTGTTTTTTTGCCAATATCTTCAGTGCAGCTTAGACTTCTTCCTTCAGTACCATTG